TCCTGACCGCCTGGGAAGTCACTGCTCCTCGCTGGGCATGCGCCACTGCACTGCGGGACACCAGGCCGGAGCGAGGGACTCCCTGCGTTTCTTTGCAAGCCAGGCAGGAGCTGCTTTGCTCCTGCTGCTCCTGGAATGCACTAAAAGCCAATGGCTGCTCCAAGGGGTACTGAACTAAACTGCAGCTTCCACAGCCACTAGATAGCACTGGGGCTAATCATGAGCTTCAGATGCTTAACAACAATGAATGCAAAGCTCATCTGGAAATTACTAGCCTATGTCTTCAGCATCACTGATTTCAGAGCTCTTGATGAAGCTGTGGAGAAACTGGCCCTGTGCATATGTGCATTGGTGTTATACCTGAATTTGGGTTTATTTTTAAACCACCGTAACAAACATATAGTTGTGATGGCAAATACAAGTATGACAGAAGTCCTAGGCCATTCCTCCTTATAATGCTAATTTGAACAGGAAAATTAGATCAACTTCCTTCTTGAGGGAGAAGCCAGAAAAGGAAAACAGATGCTAGATATGTGGAATTGGAAGAGGAGGAAGTAACTCCATTCTTTGATTCCAGATTTTAATTTTAGGCTTTTGTTTTTGTAATACAGAGATTCTAGTCCAGTTAAGTTGTATTCACTTATACTTCAAATATTCATTTGAATCACTGTATTCAATCAAAATTCTTTCCAATGGTCTCAGTTCTGCAGTGCCTCATAGTCTCTGATGTATTTATCCTCCACACCTACTACGGAGGAGCTATATCTCCCATTTGAAAATACTGAGCAGTCTCAGAGGAAGCGTGAGCAGGACAAGGCACTGACCTGGATCTCCTGAGTCACGGCACAGCAGCCCAACCACTGCATCACTTTCCCTGTAAAACCTGACTCTGAGTTACACTGTTTTTCTCCCCCTCTTTGTGCAGAGCATGGACCAAGGAGGTGAGGCTGAACTACATAGCTATTCTTCCAGAAAAAAAAAACAAAACACACACAAAAGATATTAACAAGAGATTACCTGTTAGATATTTTACTTTAGCTCGTGCTCTTTCATCTGCATCAAAATACCACACTGTTATTGCGTACCTAGGGAAAAGGATAGAAAAAAACCTCCTGAACTATGAGAAAAAACAAAAACAGTGAAGCACTTGACATAAAACACAACCTAAATGAGATGACCTTTCTTCTGTCAGACTGCAAAAGTATTTCACAAAGCAAGCAGATTTTTTTTTTCCTTTTAGTAGATATTGCCTGAACAGTCACTGAAAGGGTGACGCTGATGCTTTAAGTTTACACTTCTTTTTCCTGGTGAGCTACTATCACAGTTCTTGCCCATAATTGTAATACAGTCTCTGTCTATCTCATCTCACCCTCTGACCTCTTCTTCTACTTCACTCGGTCAAGTCCATCACTGAGCCACACTGCAAGAACCTCTTTTTTTGGACATCTGCCATAGGGAAAATTAACTATCCCTTCTTACACAGCTCCCCCGGTTTTCCACTGCCTGTAGAGGATTTAACATGAAATGCCAGCTACTGAGAAAAGACTTTAAGGAGCTTTAGTAAGTGGCATTTCACCCTGACTGCTGGGAGCACAAAGAGGACAGGGAAAGCAGTACAGCCTCAGAAAAGGCTGCAAGAGGACACACCTGTGGCAGTTTCAAGTTACTTCTTGCAAAGGTACTTGTTATCTCATGGCTCCAGTCAATGTTCATCCAAACATGTTGCGACAAGCAACAGGAAGTCTGGATCAAGGATTCCAACGATTTACTGATCAACACTGTCTGGAAATGCCACTCAGGATGTGGAAGCAGGGAAGGCAGATACCTTTAGCATCATCCACTGCCCCACAGTGAGTGACAAAGGAGGTATCAAGTTCCCTCTGTGACTCAGACTGGGAGCAACTCCTTTAGTACTTCAGAGAAAGAACAGATTTGTGTATCAATGGCCGTTTCTGCCCCACAGCCCTCTCCCAACTCCAGGACTAAGCCACTCCTAGAACAGAAGGGAGAATGAACATGACTATCTTCTAACAATTCCCTGTGCCCCAGCAAAAGAGGACATGAAAGTGAAGTATGTAGTGAATCTTTCAGTAACACAGTAAGGTGCTAAAGACAAAAGGAAGGGATCACAGTGCAAAGCCATTACAGAGAAATAAGGAAGACAACACCTCTTGGCTAAGGTGGGGTCTGCTTATGGCTCTGCATGCTCCTACCCAGCTCTGTCAAGTACACACTGGAAAACTTCTGGCATTGCCAGTCCTCCCTCCTACTCACCCAAGCAGATGTTTTCTCCAAAATAAGAGATCAGACATGGGTGCAAACTCAGCAGCACAGCAGAAGCCTAATCAATCACTAGAAAACCCTTCTCATGATAGGGCAACTGGAACTGGACATGGAAGACCTGGGATCAGGCACTCATTTCTCATTACGATTCACTCATTTATTGATAAAAGAGGCATCATGCAGAGTCCATTAGTCCTACCTTGTAGCAAATGCTGGCTGTACTTCATGAGGGTTGCGTCGATCAGACCAGAAGAATAGCAGTCTATCAAATTTGGGTTCGATATCAGCGAATTGGGCTTTGCCTTCTGGAAATATCCGAAGCATACCTCCACTCACCTACAAATTAAATATGTAAAAGCCATGCCTGAAAACCATGTCAGTGTATTCAAAAGCACTGAATGCCACATTTGAAAATATTTCAGGCACTTGGAAATAAAAACCTTTATCAGATGCTACAGAAATGATGAATCTACAGCTTTTCTGCTGATACATTTCATTTAACAGAACGTATTGCACATTTTTCACTAAGTGACTTCAGAGCGCTTGCAATATTAAACTTTGATTCATGTTTAAGTAAAAAGCTGTGGTTTTAGATTGGTTATTTTTAGTTGCATATACCTGCTCACAATGAATGGACACAACTGACTAATGTTACACAAGTGGCCAAAGATATGCCAATACACTTGAGAGAAAAACTGTACTTTGCATTTCACCTTCTCCTATTAAAGAGACTGTTTAATTTAACAGCAGCACAATTTTTTGCCACGTTTCTGTAATTACAATGAGGAAAGACTAGGAAACTTCAAAATGCATTACTCCTGGTCAATTTAGATCTCTTTCAGACTTTGAAAACAGTTTGAACTACCTAAGCATGCCCAGAAAACAGCACAAGTAGGTGGGGTTAACACCTTTCTACTGATGGTACTAATGTTTTAAAATCTAAATACAGGCACTGAGGACTTCATGTGAAAGTGGTTACAGTGCAGGTGGTAACAAGGTAAATTGTTACAGATAACTGTTAACTGTGATCTGTATCAGTTACTGAGAAGTGACAGTTTACATCAATTTGTTCTCCTAAAGAAAGTCTAAACTTGTTTCTTTGTTAAACAATATACCTAGTAATATATTAATTTGTAATTTAAAGTAAATTTGGAGGGAAATTAAACACCTTTGTTAATATTAAATAGCTAACTAGTATATTTTTCACATATTATTGTGAAAATGCAGTTTGCTTGACTTCTGTACTCTAGTATGCATTCTTTTTTTTCCAGGAGAGAAATTGTAAATAAAAAATGCCTCAGAGCTGCATTTTAAATTATTCAGTCTAACAAGCGTACTTACATGCAAAGATGCTGTCATGGCAAAAAAAAAGGTAGTCATTTATTTTCTAACTGAAGGATCAAATCTGACATTTCAAGGAGTAAGTATAAGAAACAGAAAGCTTCAAGTGCATCCATTTCTGACTCAGCTTTCTGATCTACCAGTTTCATGTATGTTATCATTCTGATTGTCTCATCCAGCTCTCATGAAGAACTGGACAGCACAAAAAAACCAAACCAAACCAATAAAAAAAACCACAACACCCCAACAATCTCCAAAACAAGTAACAACAAAAAAACCCACAACACCAAAAAACCCCTCTCAACTGTAACCTGTGCTATCTCTGTCTGGTGCACTTAATTCACAGAAATTGACAGCTTACAAGCTCTTCCACATGGTACTTCCTAAGTATGACAGAAGTTTCCAGTATTTTTATTTATTTTTTATACCTAACCGAACCCATCAAAAAAACCACAACACCCCAACAATCTCCAAAACAAGTAACAACAAAAAAACCCACAACACCAAAAAACCCCTCTCAACTGTAACCTGTGCTATCTCTGTCTGGTGCACTTAATTCACAGAAATTGACAGCTTACAAGCTCTTCCACATGGTACTTCCTAAGTATGACAGAAGTTTCCAGTATTTTTATTTATTTTTTATATATATACTATGAGAGAGAAGAAACTTTTCCACAGCTAACTGCACAGCAATCAACGAAGAAACAGTGCTATCTTCGCATTACTCTCTCTCACTTTCATTGCAGCCAGTTAGCTACAGCCACTCTTGAAATCTACCTAATCCCACTGAATCACTAGGACAATCCTTATTAAAAAGTCACTTAATCATAGTCGATACATCTGTGGAGAGTTCTGAGTCCCTGCTAGCACATTCTTAGACCACCTGAACTGTGTTAAAAATCCTTATCTGCTCTACGCTCTGTATCTACTACAACGATACAAACACTCGCGCTGCTTTGAACTATACTGATACAGCAACAAACGTAACTCTTGGGTTATTTGAAACTGCTCCCAAGCAATAGCATCTTTTTATAAGCATACTCAATTAAGTAATCTAGCTGCACAAACACTAAACTCCAGAGTCAACAAAACCTAAGGAGAAATAATCTGAAAGCAACTACATTTCAAATATCCTTTGTTTACTCTTTGTGTGTGGGTGTGTACATTTACCATACAAATACTATACAATAAGCTGCATAATTAGATATTAATGAAACTTAGATACTAGCAGATACTTATAATTAAGAAACATGCAACTTTCTTTCCATCTCACTGTCAAGGAGGTGCTGCTGGCATCATTCAAAACCTTGAAAATAAATGCCTCCTCTCTACCTGCTCTCAGTAACAGCAGAATCGGGGGGGCAAAGGATACCCACAGTTAATGTAATGGAAGAACACAACTAAGGCACAGAAGTAAGGACATGAATAAAAGGCCTTTATCATTAGCAAGTGTATGTAAAATAAAATAAATAATTGCATACCTTGGCATCCCAGTCTTTATTAAGATAATATATACAAGTAACACATCTTCCATCTCCATTTGGGTTATCAACATGGCGCACATATCCCGTTCCATTGCCTGGATAACAAGCCACCATAGCCTAGTCAAAGAATCAAACATGGTAATTAATCCTATCTGTGTGTGTATCTGAAAAGTTTACATTTTAGCTATATGAATTCCTAAGCAATTCATACATTAGCAACAGAAAAATTAAGTTAGAAATAATAGGAAAATTATTTTTTAAAAATGGTTTTCTTTCTAGTTAAAAACCCATTTTGTACACAGATGTTTCCAACAAAAGCACGAAACACACTGAGAGGAACACTGCTAATTAAGTTACGGAAGGTGGGGCTGCTCCCATGTCATGACTAATTCTTCAGACTTCCCTTCCTTGAATGAAATACAAGAGAGGGAAAATGCCCTGTGTGTAGTTAAGTAGCATGCACTTCTCCTTGTGATAAGAATGCTTGTTTTCCAGACAGCTATAATTTTAATTTTTTTTTTTTAAATAAATTTATTCTGTGTTCCACTGCAAAGACTTCCTCCTCAAAAAGTAACTTCAAACATTATTTTTAGGAGACTTTAGACAAGATCAAGAGCCCATCTTAATCACTGCAAGCACATTCCTGGGTTTGTGTTTTGTCATGTGCATAAGAGTTTTTCAATCTCTGTTGAAACAAGCCTAAATGTACAACAAAAACATCCTTTTTAATCACAAAGTGAGAAATTGAAAAAAGACACCAAACAGTAACCCGCAATAACCTGCTGATATCAAACGAGTTCCAGTACAGTAGTATATTTAACTTTCCATGCTGCACTCAGCTCAGCTGACTTGAATGACCACTAGAAAGTGTTTGAGTTTTCAGATAAGATGCACATGTGAAACAAACTGGCCATCTTGCTAATAGACTGCCTAATTAATTTTTATACATTTGCTGGAAATAGAAAACAGGTTTTTGAGAGAGATCAGATTCCTGGCCAAGTCATCCACTGCCACCACAATACTCAGATGTCTGTAGTGACAATATCCCACCTGCAAAAAGCAGTAATGTTGATTTAAAAGAAAAGCAAAACCAAAAAAGTTTCTATCAAGAATCCAATATACCACTAATCTCAATGAGTGGCTGCTGCCTAAAAAAAAACCCCTTAAAACTTTAAAATATAATCACTCCTGTCTATATTTAGCTTGGTTAAGTCAGAATCTAAAGTCATACCGCTGGACTGCACTCAAAACAGGTTTCCCAATAAAGCATTAACTTTGAAAGTGTAACCCATCAGATCAAAAGTATTTCAAATCTAACTGTTGCAGTGCATTTTTAACTTTATAGTGATAACTCCCTCCCCCACTTTAAAATACTTAACAAATAAAGCTCTCCCCAGTTTGCATTACTTGCAAGAAACTGTGCTTCAAGCAGGTTGAGAAACAGTTTCAAGTTCTACCAGCAAATTATTTGCTTATCACATGTAAGCAGAATGTATTTCACTATAGCAGCACCCATCTTTTATTTCCATAAATACTGTATTAAGGGGAAAAGCAATTTTTGGTAGCTTCTTCTAGGCAGAAATCAGAATGTAGTATTTATCAAATAGTAGCACCGTGGTTATAAGAAGAACCTAAAAATGAAGTCAAACTTTATTCACATGAGATGGAAGTGACTATACTGCGTGAAGAGTACTAAAAACTATAGAATTCAAATATTGATGTAAATTTCAGATTAGGCACTTCAGCTTTTCTATCCTTCTACTGTAATCAGAGTGCAGTCATCATTTACAGGTCTCACATTACGCATACATATTACATGTATCAAGTAATGTGACCTAATATTTGGCAAAGTCATTACTCGACAGTTTTGCTGCAGGAAGATAAACCCACAAAAATCAAAACAGTGAGTTAAACATACCAAATAACGTAATAAAGGTTCTGTAATTTCCTTTCTTACAGAGAAAAAAGGAACAAAACAAAAGCAAAACTGGACTAGAAGAGGAAGATACTTGGTTTCTCTTAAGAAAAGTCTGATATACCACATAAACCCCATCAAGCTCTCATGGAACACAAACAGTGGTGAAAACAAGCCAAATCCTGTAAGAGCACTCCTAAAACCAGTTCAGTTTCAATTTAAGGGGGTTTGCTGAGCAGTATTACGCCAATTAAACCCGTACATTAATTTTTGCTCAAGATCTTCATGAAACAGCTACTAAAGCCCATTCAGAATGAGAAAAACATTGAAACCAAGTAGCTAGGGCAATGTCAGTTCTCACCAAATTACACAGAGTTGTAATTTTAAGATGTGAAAAGATCTTCAGACGCATAAATGACCTAAGTATCTGTAACTGAGCTAAAAAAATGTTTAGAAGAGTTCTCAGGACCCTCTAGCCAATACAGGGTTTTTTTCCAAGGGTACACTTGGTTGCCATCTGCTCCTCAAAAAGGTAATTTTGCAGTTAGAGAAGCATAAATTTGCATCCTATTGCTATAGTTTCCTTTATAAGGTACTGAAAAGGGTACTTGTTCTCTTTGCTGAAGGGAAATCAAGAAAGGAATCTTTTAACATCAATGTTGCTGAAGAAAAAAAAAAAAAAAAGAGGACCAGCAGCACTTTTTGGAAAGCCTAGGGAAACACCAGTTGTCATCAACTTCACATAAAGAGCAGCCATATTAAGTATGAGAAATGTTTCATACAATCATCTGAGACTAAAATACTGCCAATGTTTTAAAAAAAGCCCTTGTTTTTCACATCAGAGTATGAAACTTCTGTTTATCATCAACTGCAAGAGACGAGAAACAGTTTTGCTGTGATAACTTATCTAATATGTATTTGTTATAACAGTAAGAATGACTCAGCCTTTAGTGGCAAACTGGAAAGCAAAGTTGCCAGTCAGCCTGTGTAGCATAATATACATTGCTTTTGCCAGTTAGCACAATTCTCTCTCCCCAGTTGAACTACGATAAGGAAAGTCACCAAACCTAACAGTTTACAGGACACGGTAAATATATTGCTTTGTGAAACATTACAAAGCAAGTTTGCGTCAAAGTGCCATGTACTGCAAGATTACCCATGTGGAAAGGACAAAAAGTGACCCAGGTAAATAACGAAGTCACGTGCATTTGTTGTTGTTGTTTTAACATTTCACAGCATAAATAAGCAAACAAACACATCTATTAAAAACAGAGAAAATTTGCATTTGTGGCTTTTGTTTTTAAAACATTGTCAATGACAGTTGGGAGCCAGGCATTTGAGACCAGAGTGTCCAAGATTCCTTGTCATTTTAGACTACCAATAGCAAACTTGTTAGCCCTCCAAAAGAAAGAGCTACTTGTTTCACTAGTTACTCATTAAAGTGATTGATGAATTCAACTCAAGGCATTACCTGCATTTTCTTAATATACAAATAAGTCTCCCCTTTTGTGCTTCTTGGACATTAGAATTTTTAAGCATTCAGTAACCTTAGCTTCTTGCAAAGACTACATTTAAGTCACAAACTTGACTTGTTCAGCCACTGGATTCCTTTGTAAACATTTTCAATATTAACCTGTAACCCAAGAGCATTCTCTTTCAGTCTCAGGCCCCATGTCTAGCACATGAGAACTGTCCTAAGATACCCTCTGGAAATCATGAGTAATCAAAGAAATATGAAAGCACCCTATCCACCCTGCAATCTGCCCAGCTTGTGTCTATCAAACCCAAGTAATCACACACTTAAGCTGCTGATAGCTCTTTCGAATACAGATGTTTTACTTGCAAATGTTTAACTCTGGAAAATTAACTTCAGGCTATCGTCTCAAACACTAAGTTCTTAACAGAAGAACTAATTGAAACCACAGATTTTTTGCTAAGCAAATGCATCCTTAGTGTGTCAACCATTCATGCAATTAAGTGCATGCAGCTAACATCAGAGAGAACAACTCAGTCCACAGTTTTGTTCATGATGTAAAGAGCCATTAGCTGATACACTCAACCCTGGGAGGCACAGCACACCAAGGCAGCAGAAAATCATACTTCAACTGGAAGCAGCCTCACCCATATATAAAGAAAAAAACTTGCTGTTAAACAGACTGAAGCTTTTCCCTCTGTTTTCTCCATTCCTCTCACAGCTGGATTCCTACAAGTTTAGATATTGCTCCTTAAGAAAAGGAAGCAGTAATAGCAAACTCTTAGAAAAGAGTGGGAAAATACCAGTTACAACACAGAATTCCTCTAAGGGGGGTAAAAAAACCACCAGACACAAAATAGACAGAACATGTGTTCTGTCATATTAAATGAAATAACTTTATTGCTTAGTTCAGATTAAAGAAAGCTGCATCAGTCAAGAAGATGTCACTTTTGCTGTTTGCTGAAGGAACTGCAAATCTCAGTGAGCAAAACAAGATGTCTGAATGCAAGACTGATGACTTCCTACCAAAATTTATCAGATGTTCTTACAAAGACTTCACTGGAAATCCTTGGCATAGGCCAGTTGACAGATTACTCAAAGAAAAAAAAAATTAAAAATAAAATAAAATCAAATCAAACAAGAAACTCACCCTCCCCCAAAACCACAAACAAAACACACACAAAAAAACAAACCCACAAAAAAACCAAAAACACCAAAGCCAACAACAAAAAAACCCACCATCAACACTCACCACTGGAATGAAAAACCAAAGAAAAAAGCCCAAAACTGACCTGTCTCTGTTTTGTCCATCTGTGATGTATTCCTAGTTAAAGAATCTGTTCATCCCTGACAAACAACAGTCCTAAATGACTGTATGTGTTCTACCTTGGACAAGCATAGTCAAGATGACTGACTTGAATATGCTAATGTGGTACAACTTGGTTTGGATTCCTAGTCTTCTGCAAATTCTTCACAATCAAAGACAAAAACTTGTAGCACAAAAAAAAAACCAACAAAAAAACAACTGGGGAGAAAGTTACCCTTACCCCAAACAGGGGAAGCCAAGAGAGGCAAAAAATACCTCTCTGAAACACACCTAATCCACGTATTTAGATACTAACTTTCATCAGAGTAAATCTTCATGCTGATATCCTCCATAATCTAATAAGCAAGGCTAGAGAACCCGAGGTTTCATAGAAGTCACCACTGAAACTAGAAAAGCTGGAG